TACTGAATAACACAGAAATTCTTTTCTAAACACATCTGTCCATCTTGCTTTCATGAAAGCAGTAGTTCATATTTTTAGTTCAAATACACCAAGGTTGAATTTGTGAAAGAGCCTCATAGCTTGGTGGACATATTACAAAATGACCGATAGAACTATGTTAGTACTTACGACTAGAGATCAAGGAAATAGTTGCTCTCCAGTGACTAATCAAAGTATCTAGTCCAATTCTGCAAGAGGTCAGTCGTGACCCGGAAAGCTCAGGGTCAATAGGGTCGCTGATTGAAACACTGAACGATGAGAATTAGAATCTCAGAGGGGACATTAGTTCTATTGAGGCTGCAATGCACCTTTCTGGGTCAAGTAGGGTGCCCTGGCAAATGCTTCCAACCAACTAAGAGTATATTCCATTTACAAGCTAAAACCAAGTAAATCAGATGAGTAACGATTAATATTACTATGATAAGTGCAGAGATTTAGGGAAAAACATGCATAAACAGACTGGTTACAATTAGCCATTAGGGTGAATTAACCTTATCATTTACACCTTAATCAGCATACATTCGTATGCAGAAAATATGTGTATTTACAGCCTATTTTGCATACCTTTGTTAATTACCTTGTAAAACACTAGGAGAGATGTTTAGGTGAATAAGTTAGTGTTTCAGATGCTATTAGTAAGAATAACCCTGTCATATTATTTGACTTAACCATTTCCCACCAAAAGTCCAACCACATTTAAAGTTATTAGGCAACGATGAACACCAAAACAAGTAGGCATGTGTACACACATAGAAACACAAAGAAAACTGAACAAATGGAATCCATTAATGTACAGAAATAAAATCAATCATTTGTAATAAACTAAGTACTTTGACCAGTTAGATAACAGAAACCATTTCAAAGTGTCATGACATAATCATTCTCAATCATCTCCTTCCAGTCTTCAATCATTGGATTGGAAGAAAGTGGAACCATTTTTCATTCCATCAGTTCTCCAAACAACTTGCGAAAACAAATTGTAATAGAATATTAACATACATAAGTTCAGTGAGATCAGTCTAAACAGAACAATGGCAAAGAGAAGTAAAGAAACTTCACAAATTGAAACCAAGTTAGGACATCATATAATTACGTCATAAATACATAACAAGATATCATGCATAAATCCTGATCAGGATTTGACTAGATAATTTCACAAATATGGGGCGCCAAGTAAAAGGTAGACACTAGTTGGAGAACCATTGAGAGTCTGGAAGCATTATTTCGTCTTTGGAATCAATAAATCCTCATAGATCATCATGAATGCATATCTTATTAGAACAAAAGTTCCGATGAATAGAAAAATATTGTGAAAATTAGAAAAAGAGATTACGTAAATTGACAAATAAGTAGTAATCAGAAAGCAGAATGTAAACACAAGTACAGTGAATAGAACTCAGTAAACTAAGGCTGGGGTTTAGGGCAAATGGAAAAACTAATGAAAGGACACCAATGTAATCAAATCCGTCAAAGATTGAGAAAATGGTTTAACAAGGGAGGGTATCTACAGATTCCCCTTCAATACGAATCTGGTACCAGGTGTTTGACTGCAATGTCTTCATCTAGGTGAAGGTTTGGATTATTTCCTTCTGTCCTCCTAATGTAACTGCTGGAGAAGATAGAAATAAGTTGATACGCAGGAATAGAAGCAGCATAAAGGAGAGGTACCCGTCGGTTTTCGATTGTTCCAAGAAGCAATAAGTTCAAAATAGGTAGACCATATTCACTGTATTGTATGTACTGGTCAGTGCTGTTGTTAGTCTTTTGTTTATCACCACTGAAGTTTCATCACCATTTAAATCAAAGTGGGTGAAGACCAGTTTCATACTGAACCTCTTTTTTTATTTTGATACACTTCCTCCCATCGTATTTCTGATGAAGCCTTGTGAGGAATATTCACTTTCTCCGAAACACTTTTCAAGAAGCAGTAGTTTCTCTTCAAGTTTATCCACTGAACATATTCTTGAAGCTCCACAGAAGAGCGTTTTAACCAGTTTTCATTTTTGATTAATTAGACGGAAACTCTTAAGATTTCGGTGAAGGCCATATTATGCGCCATAGCGATAAATAGATCTTTGAAATATACCATCTGTTCTGCTTTGATGTTATTGTCTAGAAAGTCTTATTGATCTTTATTTTTATGTCTCACTGTCATATTATTGGTCGCGGTTACGTTATTGAAAACCGCCCGCAGATGTGGTGCATAACATAAATCCTTGCACCCGATTGACGTGTTATCGATGTATCTGTAGTAAGGCATTCTATTGTAATTTCTTTTCCTAAATATTATGGGTTGAGCGCAGCTGAAGAGAACGGAAGTAATAACAAAAGGGGTCCACATTAGTCTACTGTAGTATTTGTTCTTTCTCTTCCCAAGTTGATAAAAGGAAAGATGCCCAATAAAATTAACAACGCCAGGCTGTTTTCTTTTTTGACGAGATATAAATGGACGCAAAGAAAGGCACACACACATACACCTGAAGGTAATTCGATACTGACATCCAACCTAGATTTGGATAGCTGTAGGCAAGTTAATTTACCATGAAGAATTTAAAGAAATGCATTGTGAAAACATTTGATGCTTTTAGTATATATAATTCTTTTATATCATTCCCTCATTGATTGGACCAACAGTGAAAAACTGTCACTTCCTGTGCCTGAAACTCCTTCAGAGGCTTTCAGAGATCCAAATGAATTTGACTACACACCCAGAAGGAGTACTTTGGATGTTGCGGTTGTTTCACATCAAAATATCATTACCGGTTTAGACAAAAGTGCTCCGTATATTAGATCTGCGTTCTTAGATTATACTTCTGCCGTTGACTTTGTCTCTAGATCCCTTTTATTAAACAAAATTGCCAGGACCCACAATGAGTCCTGAATTGCAAACGGACTTGACTCTTATTTATCTGAGAAAAGACAGTGCACTCTATACAGAGGGAAGCATTGTAACTCGCTGCTTAATGAAGCCGGCGTGCCTCAAGGTGCTGTTCTTTCTCTTTTTCTCTTCTCGTTCCTTTTGCAGGAATTAATAGTCCCAACTAAAGCTAACTTTCTTAAGTACGCAGACGACCTGACAGTATCCATGGCCATTATCTTCAGATTGTTCTCAGTTTATTAACTTCTTAACTGAAATCGATCACTGGTCTTCCTTAAATAGTCTGAGACTCAATCTCTCCAATTATCAGATGGTTAATTTTGGCTTAAGACATGAAAAAGAACTTCGTAAGTTGCTTCAGTCCTATGACTCTTGTCTTATGGATCGCTCTGTTGTAGAGAATGCTACAAGCGTGGTCCATCTTGGATTATGCTTTTCTTCTCATCTTTCTTGGTCCCTACATATCTTACTGATCTCCAGAAAAATCCTTCGCTTGACTTTTATTAATATGGGTGCAAGACTTGGGCACTGTGGTAGAATTTAATTCCATATTAGAATTACTTGTTTGATTTATAATACAGTGATCTAGTACTATTTACTTGATGACGTTTCGAGCATATATTATGGCTCATAATCATATCACATTGAAATGATTATGATTGGTAATTTATGCTCGAAACGTTATCAAGTAAATAATGCTAGATCACCGTGTGTTATAAATCAAATAAACAAATCTAATATGGAACTTGACTTTTTTTGTAACGAAACTCAGACTGTCTGGCATAACTCAGCCTCTACTCTTACGTTTTATTAATTACTGTGTTTTGCCTATACTTACTGTTTCCTCTTATTCTTTCCTGGACTCCGAAAAAAACTACTTTGGATTGCATAGGATTTTGAAGGCTGTTAGTAGAGCAAGTGGTACGCCACTAACCGTGATGATAAATGTGGTCGTGGAAATTCATCTGAACTCTTATAGGTTGCTAGCTAAACATATTTTATCTGATGATAACCATCGTCTGCATCTGCGCCTCCTTCCATATCTGTCGTCTGAGAAGATAAGAAGCAAATATATCAAACCCTATGCTTATACAACTGCATACAAGACTTCAACCATACCTTAGTTAGTTTGTGTACTGTATGAAGAAAATCACACTAGACAAAGTCTTATCAATCAGCTTTATAATAGCGGGTAGTTATCATAATCCTGAAGTCATTAAACAACAACATTCATGTTATTCTTTACTATGTATTGTTAGACAGAACTGTTGTTAATATGTTTGAAAAATGTTGTACAACGGGTAAGTTGATGCAATATCATATGCTTATTTTATTTGCTAAAGTAGTTCTGACGAATACAACTGATGCCTAAGATGATTAGCCCAGATGCTTTAATTACACTTATTTGCTAATTGATATGCGCCAAAACATTTAGAAGGCAACATACTCTATTTCTCAACTAGCGTTTACGTGCACACGGAAGTGTTATACTCACTATTTACTGTTTTTGTTTACCATCATTCTGAAGAGTATTATGGAGTCGTGAGCCACTTGGCTGAAGTTTACGCTGTATTGTGAATCAATGTTTGTGGACTTTCGTTGATAGTGCTCAAAATCTGTCCTATTGGTGGAAATAGATTGACTCTTTATCACCTTGAATATGCTCAGCATTTAGTGAGTCTTCACTCACTTAGTCTCTTTCCACTATTTGAAGTCTATATCAGTATCCTTCTTTTGTTGATTTTCTTTTACTCAACAACAAGTTGTGGTAGTTTGGACCATTGTACATATATACAAGGATAGCTTGTTCTGTTTCCTTGCATATATATAGGAAAAAAGTCACCAATGACTCCTAAATCCTGTAGCTTTTAACGCAGATTTATTATACATCCTTTTATAGAGAAAGATATTGCACGTAGATCAACCTATGGTTGATTATTTTAACATGAAATCTTTCATGTAACTAACTCAATAAAATATAATTTGCCCTGTTATTAATTTTGAAAAATTTGATGTTTTGCAGACGCTGACCGTGAAAAAGTTGATATCACTTTTCATACTTTTAACTGCAACAGATTAGTTTCGGGAAGGGAAACAGAGACACTTATGAAGCACCTGAGGGTTTAAGTTTGATTGACAAATTAACGCCTTTTTTATCTGGTTGAAATTTATAGGACAATGTGTGTTCTTCAAAAGGAAGTATATTGATATTTTCAGAATATTCTTGTACAAAATTTAGTCTAAGATAAACTGTTCTGTAATGCAATTGAAGGTACATAAATACCCATGACAAGTCAGCTCTTACCACACTTACTCATTTGCATGTACACGCAAAAGTATTTACACTTCACCGGAAGGGAGACAGGCATTTACACGCTTGAATGAATATTTTCGAAGGAATCTGATCCTGGTAGGATCGTAGGGTATCAACGCTTCGATAGCATGCTATACACAGGATAAGGGATATAATGCGGACACTGAGAACGCGTTCAAAAAAATTAACGAACAGTGCGATCCCACCGTGTGTCGCTTCGTAGAATACACTACTATCAGAAGGTTGAAAACTGACCTAATTACTTAAACAAGACCAGTGGTTAACTTTTAGCTGCCTTGGAAACAATACAAACAGTCCCACTTCTCTCCTACGTTTGCATTAAATGCGCCTACCATCAATCGATGTGGATTCTATTTTCATCTTTCCTTTTTGTTCTTATCATATTTTTGCTTATTTTCTTGTTATATAGCGGAAGCGGTTACCAGCATTATTCTGGAACTAACATTTCAACTAATGGGGAAACTCTTCATGAAAAAGACATCCCGTCTTACATCACTGTTTTCCGAGCAACTTTACGACTCCTTCAAGGCCACATAACTGTCAAATTTTCAAGTATATTGTTTTACAAAATTCGACTTCATTAGCCTGTTCGCAGCTGAGCAGAATGCCAGAAGATCTGCTGAACCTATTGTATTCTGAAAACCTGTTCACTGTTGTTTCATTCAAAGAAGTAATTGTTCAACTTAGTAGTTTTTCTGGATGAATTAAGACGGCTGTCACTATCAGATTCATTCCAGTAGAATTTTCTACCACCGATAGCAGTGTTGTAGCCTGTTGTAGCAAGAAAAGAAGTAAAGAAAGTATAGTGTTTAATGGATACATCTGTACACCTCATAAAGTATTAGTAACTTTATCCAAATAAAAAGAATTTTCTAGATACTCCCTCTTTCTGAACGATGATTTTGTACTCTCAGCTTTTGCTTGAGGATAAGACAGTACCATGGATGTATTACTAAAAACAATCAGCCATTAGTGGTTGTGAACTGAGGTATTTGCATGTGTTCCTCGAAAATTTCTCTTTATAAATTTAACGGCCTTGTGTCTTATAATCATTACAACGGTGAGTCGGCCTTGGCTTGTACTGCATTTCTAAGAGTGTATCTCGGTTTATTACGAGTTTTTATCTGGAGACATTTTTTTGGTGTAATGAGTACCCATAATTTCAAATTTTGACAAAATAATCTGTTGGACGATGATAACTCCTGTTTTCATATGGGCATTTGTTGTCTGCAGGGATTGTCATGTTGACCCTATGCATTTACTGGACTAGACTAGTCAATAAATCAAACACCGCTTTATGAACTTAGTGACTGGCATCAAACTTAAAAGAACCAGTAAGTTTTTAGTCCTAGAAATACTATTTGCATACTTGCATTCTTTGCAGCTTGCATCGACACCTATTTTCTGTATTCAGTTGGTTGTTGATTTCGGATTAAGTGGACGACAATCATCTACTATCTCTGGTTAGATGTCAGGTTCTCAAACTAATCATATGCATGAGAGGAAATAAATTAAAACCTGACGATACAGCAGTTAAGGATTCTGCCAGTAATTTACGTACCAGAAAGTTAAATTGTTCCCCGCCATAGCAAAGTAACTGGTCACCTAGTTTGTTCAATAAAAAGTTGAGTGAAAAGTGCAAAATATCTCAATAAATATGCCAGTGTCAAAGTCAAAAATTCGAGAAATAAATAAACAACAAGTAATCCAAAAAATATAAATTTCCATACACCTCAATCATTTGTTAGGTTACACAAAAGAAGATTCATGAATCTGATCCACAAAGTACTACTACTAATTTTTTATTACAAGTGTCATTATTCATGGTAAGATTTTTGTTTTTGCATCATTTTACAAAGAGAATCAGCATCATGAGTGTCAGCCATTTCAACAAATCGCTTTTTTTTTCACTCATTCGAATCAGTGCCCAGCATAATTTTGTTACAAATACATTTCTTCAACCTACGGATAAATCCAAACACCAATATTTCGACTTCTCAACAGTCACACCAAACAGAGAGAATAATAAAGGACAAATGATAAGTGATGTTTCCTAGGAATATCTGACTGGGAAGAGTAAGTTATCATCAGTCGCAAGCACTTTATTGAAAACATTTGATTAGGCTGAAAATCGGGTATTATTGGTTACAGAAGATGATTAAATCTTGTTTTTTTTATAATCATCTCGCCACTTTTATTTCAAATGTATCTTCATCCACCAATATAATACCTTTATATGTATGTACCGAAAAACCCATGTTATTATGATGAATATCACACGAAACTAGTATTGCATTACAGGATTCTATCAAATCTGAAATTTAATTCTCAAAATTCAATAATGCAACAATAGTCCAAATACGAATTGACGATGTCATTCAACTTGTGCGTATTCTTCAGAAAACATGTCACCACGACTCATTCAGTTAAAAATAATAAGTTTAGCGTTTAGCACAAGTTACCCTTTTTGATATACCAAAGAACATAACTTCGTAAAGAAAAGTACACTAATAAATGATTATAAGCTAATTGTCCCCAACTGCTAACAGATGAGTTCGATCCCAGCATGGTGATTTTGAGTAATCAAAAATCTTCCTTTAGTTACACAGTTCTAAGACTGATTTTCTACACTTAATTGGTGAGTCAGGACAAAATTAATAATAACCAAATAACGTGACACTTTCTTTAGTGACTAATGTCCGTCACAAATATTTTCAGTTCGTATGCCGACATAGATAAAGACAGTACTAATGATCATTCCTAATGACTTATGTTGCAGTTGAACGTCTGTTACAACTAGGGTTAAGTTAAGTAAACTTTAGACAAGATCATGATAATTCGATACTGAAATGAACATCACTTTAGCTTGGTGTTTTACTGTTCATTTACACTAGCATTTTACTAAGCATTCTATCATCACAGTGTAAACCTAGAAGTATTGAAATTATTTTGAAAATTTTTGGCATTTTATAGGATGTTAACACTTAAGTAACACTAAAAAACTAGATGTTCTCGTTATGTAAGATGGACAAAAAGAATTGTTTTCATTCAGCAGTCCCGTTGTTTTCTGTATATATTTTATCTAAACTAATTAAGTCATCTTACAGATATCTTGTCATGAAAGTATAAATTTCAAATGCTTAAAGTCATCTAAATACACAACAATGACGATTTCTATAGATTATAAGACTGAGGCTTAAAATTACTTCTAAATTCCAACCCAAAGACAAGATTTAATCTTTACGTATCACAGTAAAGCTGTTGACGAACATAGGTTTTAAGCACATTGGATAACATTTACAGGTCTAACTCCCTGAAGAAGAGATTTTCGCAAAGTAACGAAACATCAAAAGATGATCCGTTCTCTTCATTTAGATCTTGCATATTTATTCTTTTTATAAGCACATTGCACCTAAAGTTCAAGTTATTGAACTCCTTCTCGTCACATCTTAGAACCGATATTTATGACCTGTTGTATACACAGTGTAATTCTTCGAAACTTCAGGGAGATGAACAAAGTTGCATATGTAGATAGCCCACACACAGTCTGGTTGAAAATTTATTGTTATTCTCTCCAGAATTTGTTTTCACATGGACTTGTTCCATCCAAAAGGTCCTTTAGATTGAGGTGAATTGAAGTTGTTTACCATTCCGTGACTCTTTGGATTAGAGTGAACATTCTACACGTTTTATTTTGAAGTAGCATACTGCTCGGAGCATATGTTTAACTATGTGGATAACTTCATTCACGACGAGGAAAACACAATGCTAATCGATAGGAATACATTGGAGTGAGCGTATTCTCCCCTCTATCTCTATTAGATAATAATACTTTTGTAAATATCCACTGTGTGTTTCCAAATGTTATTCTAAATGAATGCTGATCTGTGTGCATTCATAACAGCTCAGCATTCACCCCTGTTTATGTGTAGAACGATATAATACTCCTTGAAGTATTCTTTGTCGTACAACTAAGAAGATCTAACATTTGTGACATGGTAAATGTATAAAAAAGGAAGCTTAGTCCTCTGTAACTAAGCTAAACTTGTTATCATATAAACTGTTTAAAAACATGCGATAATACTATACAGTGGAATAACTTTATATGAGACTATCTAAACTAGTTTGGTATTTAATACAGCGACAGATTTTTCATATTCATCGTGTCGTTTGATTTCCTACGAAGTTGGTCTTACATTCTGCGTGTTGATTTTCTTATTTCAGGAATTCAATTCCCGGCACTATTGCCTGCAGTCTGGTGAACTAAAAAATTCTGGTAAATTTGGTATCAGCTGAAAAATCCATTTAAGTGGGTTTTTATAAAGTTTAAGATCAACTCCTAGGTTTTCGTTCCTCCAAATTTAAGTTACGTTTGGAGGTAGATCTCATTGTGAAGTAATTAATAGCTACCTAAATCACTTCATATAAAGAGGTTGGTTCAGCTTCTCCATAGACACCCTTATGAAAAAGTGGAATACTTCCTGTCGAATATGTTTCCGGAATTTGTTTTGTAGAGCCATTTATTGTAAATATTATCATATATATATATTTTATGACGTGTGATTCTTATGCTTCACCACTGTAGTCTGATAAGTTGTTCGAAGTCATTTGTTGACTCAGACCACCATCCTTCACTCTCGTTTAGTAGCATAGACTGATAGACAGTTGTCTCATTCATCTTAGCATGCCTAAACTCATCAATATTATGCATAGTTGAACCACTAAGTCATATTCGAACACATGACATCATTCCTATACACCAGTGAATCTAGTTTGAAAACCCATATGCTAAATTAACATAAATTGCTTATTTGATCACCAGTTATTTCTGAATGATGTCAGTACACCCTTGCAAACGGTTAACAAGCTCTGGGCGTAGCCAATGTATCAACCGTCGCTAATATATATATATATATATATATATATATATATATATATATATATATATATATATATATATATGCCATTTTGGACAAAATAAGTTTGAATATTTTTCTCTAAGTCAGTGATATGACAGATATTGTCAGTTCTACATCGTGACGGTATGTCTGTAGACTACTACATATAAGATAGTTGTTACAGTAACAAGACAGTTAAATTTCTGGGAAAAAAACGGAGCATGTTAACTTATATCATGACTTTGGGTTGTAGTAAACTATGAAGTCTCATATGACTTATAGACAGACTGCAGAACGTCATTACTTTTAGTGATCTGATTTACAATCATTCCGTCTTCTGTGACCTTTAGTTCCGGTGGTAGCACATAAGTGGAAATTATGATGCAGTTGACTATCGAGTTGCTCTAGTTGATTTTTTCATTATTACATGAATACTATTTGAAACCGCTACGTCATGGTTTGGTGTGTTCTGAGGAGGATGGTTTGAGTAGCCACAGATAATATGAAATCATGAAAATACTTTTGTAATTCCTGGTCATTAGTTTAGGTTACTGCACAGACAACGTTAGCAACTAAAGACATTGTGTTTTATATTAACTTGAAAAAATAGTCTTGATCTAGTCTTTACTTTATTTAAAAGTTATCTTTATCGTAAGTCGAATAAACGTGTTAATCCAGGCAAACAGCTACTGAGAACATTGACTGTCGAACTTCCGTTTCAGTGCATATCGAAAATCTTAAAAAATACGCACTTTCTTTATCTGAGAGAAAAATAGGATCGCAAGAATTCATAACAGGCTAGTCAGCCTTTGACTTAAAACGTTCCATCCCAGTGACCTACTTTATAACTGTATCCTACCCCTACTTTTGTACCTTGCGTACTTTAGTCACATACTCGTAAAACATCGGCTTCAAAGGTTATGATCAGTCATAACAGCAGTAAACAGTTTTACTTTAACTGGATAAAAGTGAGTTTTTTTACAGTAAAAACTACTTTCAAATTAGCCAAGATTTTCGTGTAATCCCGTTTAGTCTGTACGCTTAGATACAACAACTCTATGTAAAATTCTATAAAGAATGAGTCAATCCAGCTATGGAAATATATTAAAAACTCCACACCGTTTAGACAGTTACTCAATACAAGTAAGTACTGGAAAGCTTCTAAGTTAACGATAGATGCCACTACTAAACAACTTCAGTAGTTAGAAACCCCTCAGGCTGATCTGTACTATTTGCTACCTTAAGGAAACCCCGTTGACAAGAGAGTTCGGCACTTGAAAAACTGTTCAACTGAGAGATGTCAGCGTAGGCCGTGCTATTTGTAAATCAGTTGTAAATTGTCCATTCGATTTTAGGTATATTCCTGCATACAAGTCAGCCAGCCAGGTTCAGGTGGTCTGAACTAATTTAGCTCTATGAGCTGAATTTGTCTGGGTACACCCGTGATGAGCTCATCCCGAAACGAGCAAATCGGTCGTCCGGCATTTACATCACTCTGATCTAACTGGCGAAATACTGTAGATCAGCCTGACTGCTTTCTAACTACTCAGGTTGTTCATTAGTCGTGTCTTTCGCTATTTCATGACACTTTTGTATCAGAGATCACACGTTGTGATGTTGGCTGAGTGGATTCCGGCGGAAAGCCTGTTGATACGAGAGTTGGACAGTTGAAAATCCACTCAGGTGTGAGTAATGTCAAGGTGGAGGGTGCAATTTGTAAATTATTTGAAAACTTCATTTTATTTTAAGCTGTTCATTTGTTTTTCAGACGTCTTGAGATTGAAAAAGACACTCTCAGTAACACGAGAAGCTGGGTATTAAAGATACTAAACTATCCAATCTGAACCTAGTTACTGGCACTCAAAACCTGTTTATTCTAAATATCCAGTGTATCAATTGAATTCAGCCCTGAACATTTCTTATTCAAGACAATTTATTCTATATGTACATGCGCTGTTGCTTTACTTAAATTATCCATCATTAAATGAGGATGATAATAACAATAACAAGTTAAATTCTGTTATAATATCATGAAGATTAAAAACAGTATAAAGTTGAACAGAAATGAAAGGATCATCAGAGTAAATTTGAGATTAAACTATTAAATGGCAGTTTTTGTGTTAGCCAGATATGCTTAGTATTCTTGGGTATTCCTGTGTGCAGTTAGAAAGTAAGGAGTCAACTCAAATTGAACTATACAATAGATGTAAATGATTTCGCAGAGTATACTGATAACAATATATCATGATACATTTTGTCTCGGGATTGTACTCAGCAATGTAGTCTTCAATGAAATGCAAAATCGATGATAGACCAGTGGAACTTTATTCTCGTCATATACAGCTTCCTATGGCCTCGTTTACAGTGAGTGACAAATTAAAATTAGATTTATGGGATAAAATAATAAAAAGGTTACATTGAGCGACAGACAAAATGAACAGCTGAATGTATACGAATACTACTTACAGTATGTGAATGTAAATGAGATTTTGTTTCAAAGGAAAATGTACACCTCAGTATAATCATCATCGTCATCAATGAGATGCACATAATCACACTGGATGATTTTATATGGATGGAGAAAGAGTGAGAAAGAAATGATCACTACTGTCGTCAAACAATTCCAAGTGAAGTTAACTGGCTGAGATTAGTTAAATCCGATGAATCTGGATCACTTTTTGGACGATTTAAGTGTGAACGACCAGATGTTATTGATGCTTTCAGACGATCACAAGTAGAAGCAGGGATAGCGAGATTTGTACTAAGTGCTTGTGAGACGTCAGTTGAATCTGTAGTGTTAATGGCATTAGTAGTAGTAGTAGTAGTGGTGATGGTGGTGGTAGCACCAGCATTAGTAGGATCAAGTTGCTGTATAACTGAATTATCATTTGAATAGAAATGGTCTTTATTTTGTTGAATATTGTTCGACATAAATAACTTGTTGAGACCATCTTGTTGGTTATCGTCATTATAACCCTGACGATATTTGAGCAATAGAGGCTTTTCAGCAGAAATAGCATGAGTGAGAATTCCATCACAACCTTCTAAATCATGCCCAGCAAGCTTCTGAGATGTACGACGTGACCATGCACGATAACACATAATTACTGTAAGTGCAATAAACAAAAAGGTAATGCATACACCGACGATAACAAGTAAATAAAGCCTTGAGCCTTGTTCAAATACACTGAGTGAATTACGCGTTATGCCTTCAACACTTGCAATTAACGAAGACACTTTTAATTCAGATAGTTCCCAATCTTTTAGTTTACGAATCGGTAATCTTGGACAATAAGACGATATAGATGAGGTCAAGATAGAGCTTGACACAGTTCTCATTCCTATTTGTGCTAGGAATCCTGCAGATGGATGTGAATAGTTTTCGACTTTTGACTTATTATTGTTAATGACCTTCAGATCTTCACATATATCTACAGCCTCCTTCACTCCACGGTATATCCCGGTTTCTTCAGATGGATTATATCCAACAGTGCTTTGTCTAGCAGAAAGGAGGGAGTGATAATCTTTATCTAACATCAGGCCTTTTATAAGACTACCTTCACCAATTAACGAAAATGGTCCTTTCGGCAACATTGCTCGGCTTAGCCAAAGTCCAAATGAAGTCCGCCAATTCGCAAATGGTATCGCTGGAAGTGGTCCTACTACCAACTCAATTGGACGTGTAATCCCACGTCTATCAGGATTACAGAATGTGTCATCATCTATATGCTGCCAAGGATTAGCAGTTAAATTCAGGACAAGTCTTGTTTGACTAGTTGTATGTCGATCGAATAGACTCAAGCTACGTGCTGTTAGGTGATTCAAATGTGTTAGGCGATTCCACGATAAATCAACCCAACTCAAAGGTAGACCGGATAAAAAGTCAGCTTGACTGACTGGACTACTTGCAGATGGAATACACACAAGCCAGTTGGCAGAAAGATCTAAGTACTTCAGTTGTGTCAGTGGAGAAAATACATCTGGCGGTAGCTGGATAAGTCGATTTCCACGAAGTGAAAGCACTTTCAAACTGTCTAAACCTTCAAATACATCACTTGCTAAATTTGTTAGTTTGAGTTCGATCATTTCAAGCGTGTTCAAACGACTCAGACGTGAAAACAATTTTGGCGAAGGACTTTGAAAACCACCGAATGTAGCTTGATCATCATGGCTCATGCGTAGATTAACTAGAGTTGAAGCACACGGATTAAAAACAGCAGAATCCAGTTGTTGTAGAGGGTTATTTCGTAAATCCAAGATTTCTAGTCTTGATAAACCAACCAAACTATCAGTATCAAGAACAGTTAATATATTACTGTCTAGACGTAGCTCACGCAAATTAGCACAACAATTGTTTGAGAACACTCCAGTTTCCATATAACCAATTTTATTATCTGATAAAAACAATACTTGGAGGTTTATAAGACCACGGAATACTTCACGTGTAAGCGATCTAACAGGATTCGAGACTGCAGTCAAATGTGTCAAACTTTTTCCAAGCGGCTGAAACGCTTTGTCACCATATCCATTTAATGCATGGTTATGCGAAATGTTCAAGTGCTGAATATTTGAGAATGCAGCAAAACTTGTTGGCGTTAAACGTGTTAAGTCAGTGTTGGTCAGTGTCAAATTAGTTACTTTATGCCAGTCACAATTAGACGTCATTAAATTACTTGTATTCATAAAACGAGTTGTATTGTTGAAGCTTAGTGATCTAAGGGTTTGATTGCATAAATCTGGATACATATCAGTCAGCTGATCAACACTGTAACCTTCAATATTGACACACACACAATATGAAAAATTGCGATCATTCATTCGAGAAATACAGTGACACGAAGCATTGGTAGACTTGATAGACAGATTGAAACAAACTATGTAGCAAATGCATAAAGGTAATATGATAATTTGGGTGATTAATGGGGAATGCATAGTTAATTAAATACTGTGTGGTGTAGATTTGAAGATGTAATTCCCCTGCCTTCGTGCACCTTGTAGTTCGCTGGTAGATGATGTTAAACGGGTGAAATGTAGGGAACTACTGATATTCAAATCGAACTCCTGCTTTAAATAAAACGATACACACGTAAACATTATTATTGTTATTTGTCTGGTTTGTACAGTGTGTCGACATGTCTACCTCACAATCATTCATGTAAATATGATTCACAGTGGTCAGCAAATAAACACAAAGACAGTAAATAGATATGTTGATGCGGCTTGAATTTTTGAGCCAATTGGAGATAAGAAAGTGATGTTTTGTCATGTCAATAGATGTTCAAAGGTGGAAGAGGAAAATAAAGAAACATTAGGTATTGAGTCAAAGGAACTAATTTACTATGAATCCAAGAAATTAATGAAGGCTGACTTCACATACAATATGAGCAATGAATGAAAACCTACATCTTCGTCCACTGAAAATCGTTGTCATTGTGAAAAGAGGTCATCTATGCACAACACCTTAGAGATTCACAATGTCTGTAGCATTTTTAATGGAGGTCATAGATGGAGTCAAGAAATTTATCTTTTTTTTGCAGTGTATCACGTTAGTTATACTTATTTCATAAAGACCTTTAGAAAACACCATCTGATAAAGTTCCTTTGCATACTCAACATTTAACATAAGGATTGGAAGCAGTATTCATTTGAAGGTCATGAAGATAACAGAAACCTCTGGAAGCGAATGTAGGGTGTTATATCAGGACTTTTCAATATGTTTGAACTTTGACCTTAGTTACATTAAATATCACCAAGATCTTTTTATCTTGAATTGGTGATAACTGAAACAGTAAAATCTTCTGCACATGGTTTCTATGTTTTACTGTTCACACCTTTTGTAAGCATTTTCAACTATTTTTTTCTTCTAATATGTTAGTATTGTTAAGATGCAGTATTTTCATTAACATGTCAAATTAAACAGAGCAATATTTGCATAAGTAATTCGCATAAGCATATTCTTATTGGTTACTTAGTAACTTAAGTTAGTACCATTTAAAATGTATATAGTTCCTGTTTCAAATGAGAAATTTATGAGACATGTCTTTCGCTTCAACACGTATGCATAACCAATAAAGACTATCTGAAAATCTGATTTCTGAGAAAATGCTTTCTGAAACATGCATAACATAAGATGAGACTAGATCTAAATTTGAAGACTACTGAAGCAAGAAGAACAATAGTGGTAAAATATGAGTGCATACATTTCGTGGATTCTTAAGTGTAGGTTGAGATGGAGATGTGGGTTGATCGAAATTGATGAAATTCAAAAACGAATCAAGGATAGTATGTCCCACAGTAACTGCTCAGACAGATAATCCAAAAGTGAACAAGTTCCTAAATCTTGTTGCCTTCATCTGTATCTAACGATTCACATGTACATGCCGAAGTATATATATTTGAAGAACAGAGAAAAGGGTTCTTTTTTGCATTTCCGAACACATCCCACAGAATTAGAGTCTTAAAGACCCATAGATTTTAAATAGCACAGTCACTTGGCATTTCTTTGCCATGGACATAATCCTGATGTTTCAAAATCGTTCAAAGTGGTCAACCAACAAGTGAAACCCAATCTTTTGAGGGTTATTGAAGCCGTTGCTGTTAAAATACCCAAATTCGACCGTTTTACTGAAAAAGAGATAGTTGTCAATCTTACTTTGCAGTTTAGAGATTTCTGAGAATTGATTTATCCAAGATAGTATTCACTACGAACTAATATCAGTTGGAGAACCAGTGGAGATCTCGGAGCAGCGAAAAGCCGTCTCAGTATGGGAATCCCTAGTAGTACGCCCTGCCAGAATTCCAGCACAGGAATCTTCACCCAATGGCTGAATGGTCCTTGCTAATAGCTACCGATTGAAGTATCCCTAGCGTGGTTTACAACGGATATTTTTGTTTCAAAAGAAACTGATCGCGAAGAAGGCAATGAAGAAACGTTCGTTTGCCATTTTCTTCTCGCATTTGTACTAGTATGCGAATAACTGATATATTCCCCATACAGATGTTACTGAGCAATTTGTCTAAGCGGTGATAGTCTGTGAGATTGCTTTTTTTCAAAACGACTGTTTCGAGTAGTGTATTGTGGCCAGTTACGCCAGGACTAAACATTTGTCCTGTAATGTACATGTTAATTCCTGACGTATTGGCTGTATAGCAGAGAAAAGTTTAGGACGGGATCTGAGATGCCGTGTTCTTGGAAATCGGCTTTAGTTATGTTGTCTGGCAGAAAAGGCATGAGCCGAATGTAGTGATGCGTTGTCAGCTGGATACCAATAAATTTGGAAGTCTGTTCATATATAAATGTGGAATTTTATGATGCGAGTAAATAAAAGTTGTAAATCTGAAAAAATGAAGAGGTACATAACGAACTTACCAGCTTAAGAGTCGTCCTTTCGCGATTTTGACAGATACAGAGGCCAATCACTAACTTTCAGTACTTATCGAATACCCGAGAGTACGATACCAAGAAAGAACACAAAGATTTAGCCAGTTAGGAACCATAAGATGTAAAAAAAATATGTCAATATACTGAGGTATTTGAACTAGCTGGTTAGGGGATTGCATACGACAGACGTCATGCAACGCAACACAATCATGTGCCAAGTGGTATGGATACTTCATCACAAGCCTTTAACTTAACCAGTCTGTTAGTACTATGAAGTTCAGCATTAATGTTGAATCTCATCGAACCTTAAGCTGTTGATCTTAGAGGATCATTTACCGCTACATTATTACGTCTTGCAGCTACTTCTGAAAATCCAACTTATAGTAAACTGCAACTGATACTAATCGCCCATTACATCTTTTATTGTCCTTAGTTATTGGTATTATCTTCTTTTTTACTACATCCACTGAACAAGCAAAAGTTATTGTAGGATAGTGAAAAATTTTAATCAAGAGAACTGTTCATAATTACTGTTGTGGAGCTTTGACAGTGAAATGTGTGATAAGAGCCTCTTCGCCGAACTACTCCTCTTTGTATTTTTATTAATATTACTACCACTGCTTGTACTTTAGCCCTTATATTGTGACACCTGTCTTCCCCATCTCTCAGATACGTTTACATGGTTCTTTGTATTTCTACTCTGCTTTTTTGGAAACCAATAGCCTTACGGTTTTTTCTCAATAAAACCTCTCTTGTTACTTCTGAAGTCTGTTTCTTTTTCGACTTGTCTTAACGATGGTCTGGCAACAGTGCATTTGAAGATCTTAGTAGTATCAAGGTTCAAATGCAAACCATTCATTTCTCTCCATATTTAACTAACACACAATCCGTCGACAAACCTGTTACAACACATAAGTAACCGAACTCACTGCATAGGAATCGAACGAAAACATTGAGCCGTCAGTCGACCCAGGGTCAGGTAGTCTAGAAGGGCTTGAAGCACAAAAACTGGGGATCAAAAGTTTCAGTAATTGGAAAACAGTTATTTTCCTAGGCTTATATGGTCAATTTTGATGATGACCTGACAAAATCCTACTGGAGCACTAATCGTTATGGAAACCTGATAATAGTGTATGAGACTGTACATCAAGTGAGCCATCCTAACAAACAGTAACTATCAATCCAGAATAAATAACTACGTGGAAATGCAGCAAGAGTAGCACACCAATGAGTTAGTATTAGAGCAAACTGATTTTCACTAAGGGTATGCTCACTATGGAACACCCTAACAGAGGAAATAGTAATGGTTCCCACTATGGTGTTATTCAAAAACTCGTCAGTTAAACGCTTTGTTATACATGTTTCAGTTCCGCACTCACTGAAGAAGTAAAAACAACCAAAAAAACTGAGGCTCAAGAAATATACGTGAGAGTTCAATTACTGTGAGTTTCCCTTTCTCTCACCATTCATATTTCATTTTGGGTACTGGATATGTTTCTCAACATCAACTAACGAGTTATTATGAATCAGTTGCTTTACATAAGTTTTTGAGGTAGATTCTGGAACAACCAGGTAAGCACAGCTTGCTTCTGTAAAGCAACTAGGCCGGAGTGTATTGAATATATGTACTAAGTGTATAGTGGGTGATATGAAGGACTAACGGTAAAGGTTCAGTCCACTTCACATTATCGACTGCTACTACAGAGGTCTTAAGATGACGACTAAAGTGCTTTGCTAAATCGTTAGAAACCGGATGATATGCAGTGATTCGAATGCGTTTGTGTGTGAACAGACTCAACAGCTTTTGAAAGATAATAAATTTAAGTTGTTGCCCTCGGTTGGTTGTCACGGTGGAAGGGCATCCAAACTGCAAAACTCATTTTCCAACGAAAATCCAACCGATTGTTTCTGCAGTAATATCTTATATTGAGATTGTCTCGGGCCAGTGAACCTACCGACATATGTCAGTAGATAGAGATAGCCAGCAGGGGGTGGAATCAGACGAATAAACAGGAATGAAGACGGACAAACCTTGAATCTGGTTTAGTATGGCGCTACGCGGATTTGTCTAGGAATGTCAGTATAGAATACGTACCCGTATCCACTTTCGAACGTCATGATTAATGTCTGCTCAAGCAAATTTAGCGTATATCAGCTTGTCAGTGGCACGAATACTGAAATTTGAAAGACCATGCAGAGCGTCAAAAATAGACTTACAGGGAGAGAAAGATACAACAGGTCTCGGCTTCCTTGTAGACATACAACACAAGATTGTACCTTCGCTTTTCAAGGATCGTACATGCTGTATCTTCAGAGAAATGGAGTGTTGGAGTTTCTTCTCCTCCTCATCTGGACTCTGAGGTTTAGCAGTTTTCTGAAAGTCAGCTAATAAGTGGTGCAAATGTGAGACGCAGCGTCTGTCACAGGATTGTTCACATACGAAGCGTGACGGGTATTCGTGAGAAACTGCGAAATATAGTCGTTATGACGCAATTCATGTGGAGAATACCTATCCATAGTGGTGTTTCTGTCCGACAAATATGATAAATTCACCACCTTCCTCGAAGTGATGAAAGTATTTGACGGGGGCATATATGCCAAGTGGTTCACGAAGAAAGATGCTGTACTGCATTTCGCCTGCAGATAGCTTTCAGGAAAAGAAAGCAAGCCAACTCCAAGTGCTCTCCATAAGCTGTTGCATCATAGATTTAGTGGTCGTGTCAGAGGTGTCAACAGAAATGTTGGTATGATAGCTTGCATACTGATGAACCAAGATTCCGGCCTCTGCTATGATGTCTTTGATCTTGTGAAATGCTTTCAATACCTTGGGAGTCGTGTTTAAAGTCTTGAACTTATCTTTAAGCTGGATGGTTAATACAGTTAAAATGCACACACACTGGGGAACAAAGCAGCCCGTAACAATTAACCATTCCTCTAAAAATAAGAAGTGCTGTAAAAGGTATCGGTACCGAGAAATCTTGAAGCGCTTGTATTTTTACAGGCAGTAGGCCAATACCATATTCATCCATAACGTGACTAAGAAAAGTCAGTGAACTGAAAGCCAGCCGGTACTTAGTCACATTGAAAGTAATAGAATATTTGGAATACCTTGTAGAAGCTTGCTGCAGGTGACTGAGACGAACACCGTAGTCTGCACTTGCTATAAGGATATCGCCTGGGTAGGCCTAGGCAAAACCTGGACTTTGTAAGACATCATGGATTAAACGCTGGAGGAGTTACGCAACACTCCGTAGTTCAAAAAGCATGTGAAGGAATTCAAACAGGCCGAATGGTGTGATGATCTCCGTCCTCAGAACGTCGTCCGGGTAAACTGATATCTGATAAAAGGCACATGCCAAGTCAAATTTGCTGAAGACTATCTCACCTTTTAAAGTGGCAGTCAAATCGTGTAAGTGAGGTGCTGGGTAACGATCTGGAGTCATTTTAGCGTCGAGCTGTTGGAAGTTGGCACAGTGCCAAGGTTTTTCTTCGGGGCTACATACAAAGACGAAAACCATAAGGCATTGGAAGGTCTGATGGTTCCCACTTCAACGTAAGTTCAGACGCAACCTTGACTGGTTGGAGTTTATCTTTGGGTGGACATTGTGGTTTAGCCAAAACTA